TGTTAATGCTCGTATCTATTTTTTCTTTAAATTCTACAAATGCTAAATAATAATATCGCAACATTGGAACTGGTTTTGATGTGCCAGGGTGTGGACGGTATTTGTGCACATTTTTATTTGCAGATTGGCAATAAGAGTTTGCAAAGACCTATATAGACGGCTTGAAAATTGCATTCATTGCAGTTTCCAGCGTCGCTGTTATGAGAATTGAATTGTTGGAGGACGGAGTAAACATTATGTTTCTCAGGAATTTAATTCTTGTTAATTCTAACAGATGTATATGTTAAGTGAATTTGATATTAACCGTTTGCCATAGAAACTGTTTTTGATAGTTTTAGATAGTTTTAGATAGTTTTAGATAGTTTTAGATAGTTTTAGATAGTTTTAGATAGTTTTAGATAGTTTTAGATAGTTTCAGATAGTTTCAGATAGTTTTAGANTTTTACATAGTTTTTGATAGTTTTAGATAGTTTAGGATAGTTTTGGATAGTTTAGGATAGTTATACTTTCGGGGCCAAAATTTGGCATAGTGTCAGAGAGGCAAATGATTTTAAATTTATTATTCTGAACATTTTGCTTTCCTTACACTATTTTAAGTTTTAAGCGTGACAGAAGATATATGCATAAAACAATCTTTTAATGATTTAAAAACGATGCAAAAACGAGCATGTGTTTAACGAGCGTTTTCCGATCGTTTGCCATATCTTTTTTTAAAAAAAAGAGATTGCTTAGTTTACCGAAAGCAAAATTTAACAAAATATAGTTTTCTCAAAAAAATATTAAGCCCGATCGGGTCTAAGTAAAGTACTTAAAAAACCAATATCTAGACAAATATGTAAAATTTAGATTACAATTAAATGATATCATTCCGACGGAGCACTGGAAATAGATAAATAGATAATGCACCTTTATTCAGGGCAATATTGATTAAATCTGTTAATTTATTTACCATGTCGTAAAAACATCCTAGAGACACTGTGATATAATAATTACATTGTGATTTTACTCATTTGAATTCTCTGGGTCAAGGGCTTTACAAAAATTAGTTATTTGTTGCGATTTGCGCAATTATTTTTCGTAATTACCAGAATTTGCAATTAAGATTTTGGCTTTTGCAAATTATCCATTCTTTGCAGACTATTGTAGTAGAGCTCAAGGCCTTTCCAAAAATGTATTAGATTTGTATCACAATAAGGCAGCCAGTAATCAAGACGTCAGGCTAAATATGGTTTAAATCATGCACATTGTTGATACTACAAACATACTTTCATTTTAAAGAATTCAAAAACAATGTTTATATTCATGATGTATCTAAATAAACTAAATTTTTTATCAAAAACAAGAAGAGAGAATAGATTAGTCTTCGGAAACGAATGGACACTCAGAAGACTTGAATTTATTAATTAACTTTTGTTGTTATTGTAGTCTTATCTTTTGTTGGTATCTCTGTATACATTTTCATAGTTTTTATAGATAACATAGCTGAAGTACAAAAAAAATTAGAATACAAAGAAATCTATTTCTTTTACTTTTTGTTACCGCCAGGGATTTCCTAATAAATCAGCCAATTTGGTTCAGCCGTTTGGCCAGCTATAGCTAACAAAATTAAAAAAAAATATAAAATCTACATAATAAAGCTCTTCACTCAAATATGTATGTATGTATTGTATTTTTAACAATTCATTATTTTTGAATTTTTAATCTAATAAATTAGATACAGTTGAAACACACACAAATTCTGATTTGTTTCTTCTTGTAGTCATTGTTTCTATCTTTCATTTTTTCTTTCCCTTCTGTTGACTGTTGACTGTTTCTGAAAATTTTGAAAGAAAATAAAAATTTGTCGAAACCAGTATTTATTGAGACACTCTGCTCCAATTTGTCCACTAAGAATTCAATTCCAAATGCTGTTTATGACAAAAAGGTAGGGTTGAGGTGTAGGAGTTGGAAGTTTGGATAGATCAGGAAGAGAGGGTCTCGAGGGACTCCCATAGCAGATACAATCCCTACTTTACACCGATTTTAATGTGTTTGCCACTCTACGAAATTTAAGGGTTTTTTCCTATTTGAGTTGCACCGCATTACAAAATGGGGAGTTGTTGGCTTTGTCACTCCAGGATTTTCACAGTTGGTCGAGTATCGCAGCCAGCAGAGTAGAAAACTGGTATTTTAGTGCATGGTTACCCATCTCTCAGGATTCTTCTTACGTTTTTTTTCTGAGATAAGTGAAATTATTTCCCTTCTTAAATTATCTTTCTTGATATAGTATGCACTATTTCTTTTACGATATAATAAACAGATTTTTCTCTACCTTGAACCTATGATATTGGTCTTATCTATGGAATTTTTATCATGAAATGTCTTATCCATAAAATGTCCTATCTATAAAATGTCCTATCTATGAAATGTCCTATCATGAAATGTTTTATATATGAAATGTCATATCTATGAATTGTCCTACCCTGAGATGTTTTATGTATCCTATCTATGAAATGGCTTATATATGAAATGTCCTATTTATGAAATGTCCTATTTATGAAATGTCCTATCTATGAAATGTCCTATCTTTGAAATGTCCAATTCATGAAATGTCCTCTATATGAAATGTCCTATTTATGAAATGTCTTATCTATGAAATGTCCCATTTATGAAATCTCTGATATTTGAAATGTCCTGTTTATGATTTTGTTATTCATGAAATTCCCCTGTATGAAATGTCTTTACGAAAACGATTGACATATGATCCGTTTCTGAAAGTGTTTGCAGGGAGGGGGACACAAAGTGGTGTTTGTATAAAATGCCTTCTTTTTGAGCGAAAATTTTATGTTTTTTTAAAAAGAAAATGGTATTGAAGGTTTTAAAAGCTAGTTTTTGTACATTTNGAAATTTTATATTCTCATTTTGGATTTTCAAATCTCACTTTTTATTTTTTTCATGAATCTCACTACCTTAGAACTTGACACTATATACTTTTATTTTATAAAACTGGGGCATTTTATACCTACAGCACAAAGTGTGGGTTAGGCCCTCTTTATCTAAAAAGGGGGGAAGCACGCGCCATTGTGCCACCCCCCCAGTTACGGAGCTGATAATAATATCAAAAGTTTACATCATCAGGTTGCAAAGCTAGAAGGGATAGTGAATTAGAATACGAGGTGAACTATCAGTTCTGTTGTATATTGAAATTGTCCCGAATTTACTCGGGGAAATGAGACTATTTTTAGATTTTTTGACTGCATGAAGCTGACCCTCAGGCAGAAGACGAGCCGGGACACCTGCTGATCCTACGGGCGACAGGTGGTCGTGCCGGTACACTCACTTGACTAGCTAGTTGGGTCAGTACACGTCAGTAGATGGTCGGGCCGGTACACATGTCTAGCACGCCGAATAGACTGATTGACCATACATGCTTTCCACGCATACCTGGAATTCTGCCCGCTATCGGGGAGAATGTGGGGGGGGGGGTAAAGGAAGGGGAAACTAACTTTAGAATGTTATTTGGGCTTTAAAAATATAACTTTTAAATTTTTTAATTTAGTTATAATAATCAAATTATGAAATATTTTAAAGACTTCTAGTTTTCATCCCTGGTATGATTCATGTAAGGGGCTAGCCAGCCTAGCTGCCCAGCTGCCTAGCTGGACCAAGGATACAGGCTAGCTCTCGGCCTGGCTAACCTCAGGGCGGAGGTGGGGGGGACTATAGAAAACAAGGTGGAGTATACAGGATAATAGAAAACTCAGTCGTCCTTCCTACCTTCATTGTACAGGGGCACTCATAGAATCCCAACAGCATGGGCAAGTAAGTAAATTATAGAAACCATATTTCTTACTTAAACCTGTTTTCACGCAATATTCTACTAGGTCAGCACAGCACAGGATTTAAATATGCTGGTGTCAGCAAATTTTACTTCATGAGCTGCAAGATTCCCAACCTTAAACTAAAAATCAGAGTTAAGTACCCCCCCCCCTCGGCTCTACCCCGACTTTTAAACATAATTTCTGTCTCAATATAATTAGATTATCAATTCTCCTGTTTTATAGTGTATCAACAAAACGGAACAGCTAGTTCTTACACCAAACTCATATTTATTAGTCCTTATATCTTTGAAATCCGACTCTTAAACTGTGAATTCTGTAAGATGAAATAGTACAAGTTTGAAATATCAAAGGTTTACACCATCTGGACGCAAAGATATAAGGATTTGAACATAAGGGTTTGCGGCAGGAACTCAGTTTCTTTACTGAAAGTTTTAAAAATGATTTTAATCCAAAAATCCTGGGCTGTGTCAGGAACTAAGCTTTTGCCACAAGCTCCAATTTTCTAGTCCTTATATCTTTACAACCTGACTGTGTAAACCTTTGATATTTCAAACTTAGACTATTTATCAGAATTCCTAGTTTGAAATAATCTTGAAAGTAAGCATTTAGTGGGGTCACTTATTAGAAGTATATATAAAATATAAAAAGAACTTCAAAGGGGGGATATAATGGGAATATTTGACATTTTTCATTATTTGGCGAAAATTCCCTCAGTGAGCAAATCATTTCCTTCTATTATGGCTTCGGACTGAAACTTAAAAAGACGTTAGAAATGACAGACATTTCTTTATATTGATAAAATCACAGTTCAATATTGTAAAATTTTTGTAATATATAAATATATTTATTATACATTTTTAACCCTATCCCGATTGGACTATTTTTGTCTTACATACAGTGAAACCCTTAATCGGAAGAATATATCAAATGTCGTCTTGGCAATTTTTCAATGAGTTTTATACAATACTACGTAAATTTCAGTATTTGCGAAAATAAATAGATAGCCATAAATATGCAGGAACAGTTTTAAAGAGTTCCATACAGTCATTTAATTAAAAAACTAAATATCTGCAACATTCCCTTATCAGAAAGTGAAGAATACGACATTTGATGAATTCTTTAGATGTATTCGTTATTAAGGGTTTCACTGTAGATTGGAGAGAGGGGGGGGGGGTCCCCCCTCTCTATGGTTTTGCCGTTAACGGGATTGTGATACATGGCCCAAGTCAAATTTTTCAAGGCCTGCTTATTGAAAGAATTAGACCTCTACCTTCCATAGAGGATTTTAAAAAATAGTTCAAAAATTATGTCGGAAAAATATGAAAAATAAATACTATTACTTTTGAAAAATATTCACATGTGACATTTTTCAAGGGCTTTTCAAATATATATATTTGCGTTGTAGCTTTATTAATGAAAAGTTATTAACCATTTCTGATTTCTGTCCTTTACCCTTCATATGCATAAAAAAAAAGAATTTTTAGCAATATTTGTTCACAACTATGAAGTTTAAAAAGTGAAGAAGTTTTTGCGCTCTAATTCCAGCTGTTTTTTAAATTATTTAGAAAAAAATTGTAAACAACCAATTCAAACTTGCCACCAAAAAACACATTTAGAAAATTCCAGGCATTTATTTTAATTTCTGTCCTGTCAGTCCTCTGGCATTTTTTTCACTAAATATGTCAAGATCATAAATTCTAAAACTAGTGTCCTTCAGTGAAACCCTTAATAACGAATACATCGAAAGAATTCATCAAATGTCGTATTCTTCACTTTCTGATAATGGAATGTTGCAGATATTTAGTTTTTTAATTAAATTATTAAATGGAACTCTTTAAAACTGTTCCCGCATATTCATGGTTATTTATTTATTTTCGCAAATACTGAAATTTACGAAATAAAGTATAAAACTCATTGAACAATTGTTAAGACGACATTTTATAAATTCTTCCGATGTATTCGTTACTAAGGGTTTCACTCTACAATTTTAATGTATAAACTATTTAGCACTCTTTAAAAAAGTTGTCACTAAATTCCAAATCTATCCTTCAAGAAAATTGTATTTTCTGATTCTAAATCATGTTTGTTTCAGGGGTCAGAATGAGGGAGGTTTCTCCCAGGAACAGCTTGACATGTACAAGGACTGCTTCAAGCTTATGGACATCAACAAGGATGGAACCATTGACAAAAATGATCTCCGAGGAGCTTTTGACAACGTCGGTGTCCTCATGACAGAATCAGAACTTGACGGCTTGCTGGGAGAGATTGGAGGAGCTTGCACCTATGACAACATGGTCAAGATGTTCCAGGAGAAGATGGCTGGAGACGGTAACGACTCTGATGATCTTATCATCCAGGCCTTCAAGGCTTATGATGTTGAAGGTAAGATTGATGTCAAGATGTTCCAACATGCTCTCAAGACCTGGGGAGATAAGATGACTCAGGCTGAGATTGATGATGTCTTCGGTGAGTTTGATATTGATGAGGACTACATGGTTAAGAGCAAAGAGGTTCTTGGACTCTTTGTTGCACAGAAGGAGGAGGAGAAGAAGGAGGAGGAGAAGGCACCTGAACCTGAAGCAGCCCCTGAGGAAGAAGATGAGGGAGATGCCAAGAAGAAGAAGAAGAAGAAGAAGAAGGCTGCCAAGTAAATGTAAGTTGAAAACTTAAAATTGTTTTTTATCCTTTTTCATTTTGCCTTTTTTTCAGATTTAAACTGCAACAATTCTTCGTATGTGGATAATCCTGTCATCTCAAATCAATGCTTAATGGAACTTTTTGAATAAATTTTAAAAATATAGATTCATGAAATAGATTTGGGTTTAGAAAAAAAATATTCTTTAATCTTTTTTTCAACCAAAACCTACGTATAAAGAGAGAGAGAGAGAGAGCCGGGACACCTGCTGATCCTACGGGCGACAGGTGGTCGTGCCGGTACACTCANGTTGTCCGTCTTCACTGTTCATCTTGCGGAGACATTATAGACACATCTTTACAGTCTTTTACCCTTTTCATAAAATAAATTCTAGCAGACATAATAATATTATGGCTGTTGAAATTAGGTATTACAATGCCAATTCATAACAAAGACGATATCGGATTCGTCACTGAATTCCCATGTTTTTTGGGACACCCTGTACTACTTTACGTAAATCTCAGTATTTTCGAAAATACATAAATAGCCATGAATATGCAGGAACAGTTTTAAAAAGCTCAATATAATCATTTTAGAAAATTAAATATCTGCAACATTCGAGTATCAGAAAGTAAAGAATACGACATTCGATAAATTCTTTTTATGTATGGCTTATTTAGGGTTTAACTGTACCATACTACAGAGCCCGAAAAAAAAGAGTATTGTTGAACGAAATTTCCGAGTTTTCTTTTTGGGGTCTTAACATTTGTGTAGATTTTGATTTGAGAGATTCGAAAAAAATATAAAAATATGAAGAAACTAAATAATACAATATTTCAAAACAAGAATATCATTTTCTACAAAACTGGGTGAACTCATTTGCCGGGTTCCAAAACTGGAACCCAGACTTCAGATAGGACTTTACTGAATGTATACTTTATGTTTCCTTATATTCAAGATTCCCTGCATCTCTAAATGTCTTTCTTTCTTAGTCAAATAATTAGGCAGACGCTGAACTCCAACCTTCAAGAAGATTTCACTACCGCGCTTAATTAAAAGCATGATTAAGGGGGGGTGACATTTGTAGATCGAGATTGAATCCTAGTCGCAGCGCTCGGCCAAGAAGGTGTCATAACCTATCCTAACCTGTGGCCGCAGCGCTCGGCCCAGAAAGTGTCTTAACATAACCTAACCCTAAGAAAAAAAAGTGTCATAACTTTTTAGAATTAGCCCTATCCGAAATATATGACTCCCCCCCCCCCGGCCCTACCCCGGTTCCTGCATAGCATCCAAAAAGAAAGACGATATTTATACTTTTCTTATTACAAGGCTACGGGTGGCTCACGAAACATGACAGTTAGTGAATGGTTAAAAATGTCTTCTTCCATAATTTGCTAAGTTGTTTGATACCAAAGAGAATAATAAAAAATATTTTAAGGGAGTCATCTTACAGTAAAATTGATTTCAAAGTAAAATATATTTTAGTAAAAGATTTTTAAAACAAATAAAACTACAAAAAGTCTTTACTATGTATCTAATACAGTATATGGAAGAAGACTTCAAAATTATTCACCAATTGTCATGTTTCGTGAAACACCCTGTATCTCTGCAACAGGATCTAAACTGAACTATTTCTGATATTTAATCTATGGTAAAGAAAGTAAAGAATGGGACTGTACGTTGGACCAGGTTTTCATAATGTGGTTCACCATGTCTTGTATCTTAAAAACTGACAAAGATATGATATATTAAGACAATTTTCATTTTTTTAATAAATTAAAATTTGTACAAAATTTGCAATTTCTTCGTCAATTTTGAAAATACATAAGATAGACCACATTTTGAAAATCTCAAGACCAGGCGTTTTCGAAACAGTTGCGCAACTTCAGGGGGGCGAACCGAGTTTTGTCCCCCCCCCCCTCACTTGACTCCAGCATGATCATGTACTGCCCATCAGGAACTACTTACTACTTAAGACACTATTATACGAATTTAATATATTATTGAGCACAGAGCCAAACCCTTCAAAAATAAAAAAAATGCTGTTTTTTACTTTAAATCCTGTAAAATTGCAGCGGTTTTAAAAGTTTTTCGACAGGGAGCCCACCTTTACCCCCCCTCAAAATCAATCTAATAGGATATAATGTAGACACAGAGGCTGAATTTAAAGAATTTGAGCAGCGGCTTAAATTTGAGATGCAGTTCAAATATTAAAATTGTATTGTAAGATTTAGGCCATCGCTTAATTGACATCGGTTTTTGGTGGATTTGAGACGTGGCTCAAGTTAATTAAATTCGGACTCTGATCACTTATCTTTTTTGTATAATACTGATTTAAAATACTGAATCATTTTTAAAATAATGTAACATTTTTTTACTGCAAAAAAAGAGCTAACTTTTAAAATCAAAATCTTGGTGCGATGTTTATACAATGCACTAAAATTTACCAAAATCACCAAAATACTGTGATTTGGTTTCCGTCATAAAATTCTTCAATTTTATTTTGAAAATTTCGTTTTTGTATTTGTCACTGATTTACATTTAGAAGTGTGCCGGGCACAATTAAGAATGTTATCCGTTTTAACAAAAGTATATTACACAATCCTACGCAACATTTCGGAACAAAAAAGAATGAAAGAAGACGACAACCGTTATTACCACGGGAATATCCCATTTTAAGATTCATTTTAAGCATCAGTATGGTGGCCTAATCTTTCTGATACATTGTTAGATCCAATATCTTCCCTCCTCAAGAAAATGGTTCGGTCCGAAAAAATCGTCAAATGGTGACGAATGCCGATTTAACTGTTATGCTTTGTTGGTCTAAATCTTCAGATATTACTAAGTGACAAGTTTGTCTTCAATTTGTACACTTTTAGTCTCGCAGGGTTTAGGATTGCGTAAGATTCTATTGCATATATATTTGTTTGTTTGTAAATTGAAATTATAAAATGAATTATTGCATTTGTTGCATTTATTTAAATCTATATATAATAAAGTCTGGAATCAGACAAGGAGGAATGTTTATTGAGGGCATCAGTTTATCTTCACATTTACTTGGCAGCCTTCTTCTTCTTCTTCTTCTTCTTCTTGGCATCTCCCTCATCTTCTTCCTCAGGGGCTGCTTCAGGTTCAGGTGCCTTCTCCTCCTCCTTCTTCTCCTCCTCCTTCTGTGCAACAAAGAGTCCAAGAACCTCTTTGCTCTTGACCATGTAGTCCTCATCAATATCAAACTCACCGAAGACATCATCAATCTCAGCCTGAGTCATCTTATCTCCCCAGGTCTTGAGAGCATGTTGGAACATCTTGACATCAATCTTACCTTCAACATCATAAGCCTTGAAGGCCTGGATGATAAGATCATCAGAGTCGTTACCGTCTCCAGCCATCTTCTCCTGGAACATCTTGACCATGTTGTCATAGGTGCAGGCTCCTCCAATCTCTCCCAGCAAGCCGTCAAGTTCTGATTCTGTCATGAGGACACCGACGTTGTCAAAAGCTCCTCGGAGATCATTTTTGTCAATGGTTCCATCCTTGTTGATGTCCATAAGCTTGAAGCAGTCCTTGTACATGTCAAGCTGTTCCTGGGAGAAACCTCCCTCATTCTGACCCCTGAAACAAACACAAAATTATTTTAGTTTAATATAAAATTTTTTAAATGAACCCTGAACAGATTTTGTATTTACAACTGCGACACGTTTTTTTTCTATGCAGTTTTGACATTTTTAGTGTTTTGAATCGAAGGATAAGTTCTATAAATAAGCAGACACAATATTGGGATTTCGTTATATTTAAAGGGACTGTTTGCGTAAATGCATGTGACAGTCCATGCAAAGATGACAATGCACGATTCACAAAGAATCCCTTTAAAGCTTTGTCTATTCAAGTATGAATTGGATATCAATGTTTATAATTTTTAAAACTGTTTATTAAAATTGTGATGTATCTACAAAAGTGACTTGCGCTTTTCTATTGAAGAAAAACGTGTAGGAATTATTAGAATTGAACACGTTTAAACCTATATAAACGGTAATATGTTCTAAATTATTAATCAGATAAAGGTTTCAAGGGTACCGTTGTGAATCCAGTATTGTCATCTTTTCATTGGGGTTACATGAACTTTCACATAAAGTCCATGTTTACAATATTTTCAAAGGATTCGATAGCAGCCTAAATCCCCTGAATTATTTATCCAAAAACTACCTTTGATAAAATAAAGACTTTACTTCAGAGGTTAAAACTTTTATATGAAATAGCGCTAATCTACAACGCTTGATCCTGTGTCATGACAAAAGATGCAGACAAATTCTTGATTCAGGAAGTTGCAACATAAAAGTTTAAACTCAAATTGACAGAAGATGTTATATTTTACTCGATTTTCTGGAACAATCTTTAAAGGCAATTTTCTGAATTGAAAATTATTATTTGTTGTTTTAAAAGCTTTAAAAAAATTTGAAAAAAATGCCCAATCACAACGTTTTTAACTACAGGATATCAATTTTTTTATTTCTTTAATATCTTGAATATTTGTTCTTACTTTCCCATTGTGTGTTGTTGAGTGCCTGGTGTTTAGTCAAATACTGACTCCTATTCTCTTCTATTGTTATATTGTCAGGTTGCCAGCTAAGCTGGTCAAACTATTATACCCTATACAAGTATCCTAGACACACAACTAGCCATCTTACAAAAGAAAAAGAAAATTTCATAAAATCTTTTAATTTTTAATCCTAAAATGACTGAATTTGATTTTCAATGTAACTTTCTAAAATTTTACATGCTTTTTAATTTTAACTTTCTATAATTTAACACGTTTTTTAACGTAACTTTCTGTAATTTAAAATGTTTTTCTTAACGTTACTTTTTATAATTTAAAATGTTTGTTTAACGTATCTTTCTATGAATTTAACATGTTTTTTTTAACGTAACTTCCTTTAAATTAAAAAAAAATTAACGTAACTTTCTTTAACATGTTTTTTAACGCTATAACTTTCTATAATTTAAAATAATTTTTTTTAACGTAAATGTTTATAATTTTTATAATTTAATACTTTTTAGTGTAACTTTCTCCAATAAAACCCAAATAGAGTTTTTTTTTATAGTTAAAAAAAGGAGAGTGGGGCAAAAAAAACCTATCTTATTTGAAACTTGATTTAACTTTAAAGCAAAATTAATTCTTTTCAGAAGATAATTTCAAATGTCGTCTTTTCCCTGACCCGGGCCGTAGACAAGTTCTAGTACGCTCCAAAGTTTTCAAAATTTACGGTTTTGAACTTAAAGCTTAGGGAAAAAAACCGGGCCCATGTTCTCTAATTCAGTGGAACTTTATAGCCAGGAGTTGGGCATAATTTTTCTTTTTTTTTCTCGAGAATTTCAGATTTTTTTCCTGATTCAAAACTGTACGCTCGTTTAAAGTGCGGCCCATACAAAATTTAAAAATATCGACGACTCAAGTTTGGTTTAAATAATTTACTGAGCCAATAAATCACATCGATTGTCTAGTGTACACAAAACCATATCACATATCAACATATATTCACAAAATGTTGCTGAGCTCAGTTTTATGAATTCCATCTGATTTGGGCGGGTGTTTTTTTTTTTTGTTTCTTTGTCCGATCAAAACTCAGGAACCCCTGGACCAGTGGCGGATATAAGGGGGGTTATTGGGGTTATTTACCCCCCCCTAGAATCCTGGGGGTAAATACCCCCCCTAGAATCCCGGGGGTAAATACCCCCCCCTAGAATCCTGGGGGTAAATACCCCCCCCTAGAATCCTGGGGGTAATTACCATACCACAACAA